CCTAGGCAGTTCGCCACCAGGGAGCATCACCAGGCAGTTCGTCACCAAGTAATTCTCCCTCAGGGAGTTCGCCACCAAGTAGCTCATCACCAAGGCACATCACCACCAGGTCAAACACGAGGTACTTAACCAAAAAAATTTATACATCACAAAAAATGGTACGTGACMAAAAACGATTACATCACTTTGGATTCAGGAAACTATCATCGAACTGCACTTTTTCCTGGCAAATAGTTTCCAAACCTCTGATTCATTACCTTCACAATCATGACATTGACAAACGCCACCTTATTCTCATTAAATGGCCATTTTCCAAATTCCAGGTTGAGAGGGATGCAGGTAAAAAGGTGATGAAGGAGCTTTGAGCATCTCGTTGTTGTTGTCGTATTAACTATATTTGTCGCCATGGTCGCCGATCAAAGGATCCTTGACAGGGGGAAGAGAAAGGGAAACGACTTCGGATTGAGAGATTCTTGTATCACAAGAAAAGAATCAAGAAAGCGCAAACCCTGACCAATGTGCGAACCGATTATAATAACTGACTTAACACAAGTGGACTAGTTGGACAGCTGGATTAACAGAATTTCAACAAATTTATAAGAACTGTCTACAGTGACGGGATCTGCTCCTCACAAATGGGCGTCTCACATGCACATCCACCGTGCATTGGTAACATGTATATGTGAGGCGCCAGGTGTGAGGAGCAAATCCGGTCTACTATTCACATGGGTAGCCACCAATCAGCCGTCTAATTACCTCGTACATCTGTGAGATATGTGGGATCACATGTGGCTGGCACGTAAATAGTTGAACGGCAGAGCGCTCCGTCTCGAGTACGGGAGATCCGAATTCCGGGCTCAGCAGCCCAGTGGCCAGAGATATTACTGTCACCTCAGGTTCAGGCATAGGCAGCCAGCCTCTCCATCCCTATTAACCTAGTTTCTTCTTCTTCACGGCCATTTATTAGCCTACGGTTCAGTTGTCTCTACCCACTTTACAGGATTCTTGTACGAGCACCAACAGTGTGATTCTCGTACCAGAGAGATAACCCAGGTTACCAGTTGAGCAGGGTTGAAACCTTTTCTTTAAAATCCATCGAGCCTCAAGCCCTCAAGCCTTCTGCCATGCTAGCAAGTCGCTGAGATTCTGATGATGGTGGGGCTCAACTCAAACAACAACCCCTTGCCTTTCTTTTCCCTACACGCGATTCATAGGATACATCTCTACAAGTACAACGACTGCTCTGTCTCAGTCTAATAGATTTTGACTCAAATCGTCAGCGTCGAGTCGTCGGCTACTCTCGCTTGAATAGAAGAGTCCAGATCAGTGATCACCCCGAAGTTCTACTACAACTATAAACATCTCTCACAAGCCGGTGAATGTCACAATGGATCTCGGGTGGTCGTCCGTGCGGATTTCCTCACTTGATCGCCAAATCGCTGATTCCGATGGCATGCTGGATGAGTTCGAGGAGAAGATCCTCTCTTGGGTAGAACTCATGGCCAGTCTCAAGTACCAAAGAGACGAGTTGCTGAAACAGCGGGACGACCTGCGGATTGAGTTGCAGAGAGAGCGAGAGTTGCGAGATGGATTGCAGAAAGAGCGTGATGAGTTGAAGAACGAGCGCGATGGGTTGCAGAGAGAGCGTGAGCAACTGCTGTCTGAGCGTGAAAGGGCATTAACTAGGGCAGATGAGATACGGACAATGTGCCAAGAGGCGGTCGGGAGTTCACAGGTGCCCCAGTTCTTCTCCAAGATTACTTCCACGGAAATTGAGAGAGCAACCCTCAACTTGGACCCATCGAAGAAGATCAGTGAAGGGGGAAACGGGAGGAGCGTCTACAGAGGCCAACTTCGAAATACCCAGGTCGCTATTAAGATGTTTGGCTCGGATACCTTGCAGGACCGCAACGAATTTCAAAGGGAGGTAATAACCCTGTGATTCCTTTCACACATTGCTACCTCTATTATCATCGATCATCCAGTCTGATTGGATACATCTGCAATTGAGCCTAATCAGATCATTACCCAATTCAACCCTATTCAAACCCACTGTTTATCTTTGATCGGGAAGAAAACTTTACCATCAGGAGATTCAGGTCTAGACATGGTGTCATACAGACAGACAAAAAATAAAGAAAAAAGACAAAAGAAATATTCCATATTGATTAAAAAAATCTATTGACAAAAATAAGTTGTAATAAACCATATAATATATCCGGGAAAAAAACTTTTCCTACTTTCTGTTCAACCTCTCTTTATTTTATTTTCTTATTTGGACTTCTGGGGCATTCCATCTTCACCATTTGTGCATTTTTATATTTATATTTCTCGTTGTTATCTCCTCATCCAATAAATATATCATGCTTCCCAACTTTATATTTTCTTTTGCCAAAGAAGTACTTCGCATCTTCATACTTTTGTTTTGTTGCATGTAAAATTCTTTCTTGCTTGTCTTAAGTTTAATTTTGAATTGAAAATTGATTTATTCTTTTGTGTAATCTAATTTGAGGATGAAAAGGAGAAAATCTGATTTAACCAAATGAAGATGAAGAGCTGTTTGTGGAGACCGGAAGGAATGTGAGAATAAGTAAAGGGAGTGAAGGAAGGAGACTTTAGAGTTGTGCAACTGTTCCCTTTTTGACTTGTCTAAAATGAAGCTAATATAAATACACCATTTGGGGTACTAGGAAACTTCCATCTTGCAGCCTAGGTTGTAACCTAAAAGGGATCAACGCTCAACGAAATCACCTTCTGTTCATGGACAAGTTTTTGCCTTACATACCCCTGCAATGTTACAAAAATGCTGTTCTTTTTGTGCATGTTTTTAAATTCAAGCATCACTTTGTTACTGAGTTCTATTTGATCTGCACATTGTAATCTTATAATATTTTTAATTTTAAAACATTTTTAGTTGTCTGTTTAAATACTTAAACTGAGTGAGACGTTTATTAAGGAGTTACCTGGATTAGCACCATATATGTGTTTAAAACAGAAAACTGTATTCCACTTTATATGTCGCACTAATCCTATTGACCCATCATCTTCTGTGTTACCAAGGATCTATAATCATCTTTTTGTATTATTATTCTTGATCTGTATGTGAACTGACAATCAAAATCATCAAAGTGCAACAGTGCTGTTTGATAATGGTTCATGCACATTGCTCTGATTTAGGTGGATGTCCTGAGCAAGGTGAGGCATCCAAATATTGTCTCACTTATTGGAGTCTGTCCAGAAGATTACTTTCTTGTCTACGAGTATCTTCCTAATGGAAGCCTTGAAGATCGACTGAACTGTAGGAACAACACTCCTCCTCTTCCATGGCAAGTCCGAACCCGCATTGCTGCCGACATATGCTCAGCTCTCATCTTCCTCCACTCTAACAACCCTAACAGGATTGTCCATGGCGGTCTCAAGCCAGATAATATCCTTATGGATGAAAACTTTGTCAGCAAACTACGTGGTTTCAGCAATTCTTGCTTAATTCCCTACAATGGAAGGTCAGCCAGAACCTCCACACCATGCCGTAGAATTGACCCTATCATCCGTGACTACATCGACCCCGAGTTCCTAGCAACTGAAGAGTTAACACCAGCATCAGATGTCTACTCATTTGGAATCATACTATTATTGCTTTTGACAGGAGGACCAGCCCTGGGTATAGTGCAGATGGTCAAGTCTGCATTAGATACTGATACCTTTCATGAAATATTGGATGAATCCGCAGGGAAATGGCCCCTTCTACAGGCAAAGCAGTTGGCTCACTGGGCACTGAGGTGTTGTGAACAGATGCGGCAGAGGCGACCAGACCTTGGGTCAGATGTGTCGATTGTACTTGAACGGCTGAAGTTTTCATGTGGAGCCTCATCATCAAATCATCAAAGATCCGAGGCACATGGCGAGATTCCATTGCATTTCATTTGCCCCATTTTTCAGGTTGGTAGTAAGCTTGTTCTTTAACATTTATCAAAAAAAGAAAACATTGAAAGTGATGCTAGTTTTTAAATTTTAGATGGATCAATGCATCCTCCTTAATAGGCTTGATCTGCTTTGAGCAATTGTGATGGACCTGGGCTAGAGACTAGGTTTAAAGCATTGGACCTCAATATGAATCGACTTTCCCTCATCCACCATGTCAGTAAGCCAGGAAGAGCATAGATGGCTCAGCAAGCTCTGTTATACTTAAATGGACCATGATCTAGCCAATACAAAATTTAGGTATGCACTTCGTGGTTAAGGTTGTTGAAATTGCTTTTACTTGATGAAATTGCAGGAAATCATGCAGGACCCACATGTGGCAGCAGATGGTCACACTTATGAACGTGAGGCATTGAAAAGATGGCTAGACACTGGTCATGATACTTCACCGATGACAAACCTTCGGCTCCAACACCGCAATCTTATCCCCAACTACGCCTTACGTGCTGCTATTCAGGAGTGGCTACAGCAGTCATGAAACTTTACATGTATGCGATCTTTAATTTCATCTTTCTAAGATGATTTTCCCATTTTGTTGTATGTGTAAAGCATATTACAAAAGATGTACTAAAAGACTTTCAGGTATACAGAAGAGAAGGTTTTATTCAATACTTTGGCAGTACCATTGTTGCCCCATATAAATTCACACTAAATAAAACTCCCATTTTCTGCTACTTAATTCAGTGCTACCTCAAACTCAAAACTCTTAAAAAATTAGTACCATTTAAATCAGTGTTATATTTTATGAAAATACCTAAACCATTTAATTTGGTTCTCTATTTTACTTGGTGCTATTCAATTTGTTGATGCATTTGGTGTTTCCTTAAAATATCCATCGCTATGCTATTGTTGGAGGTCTATCTATGTTTTAGGGATCCTTGTTTTTGAGTTTTGGATTTTCTCTTTTTTTTTTTTCTTTTGGAAAAACACCAGACCAAGCTGGGTGAGTTCTGGTTTAAAAGTGCCTTGCCAAGAAAAAAGATGATGATAGAAAAGCTTCCATAGTGCAATAGTCTGTTCAAATTGGTTGCCTCTTCAGGCTACTTGTATTGCTGCACAATCTTTGTTCTCCATAAATCAATTTCCTCCTTAAAGGGRTCTTTCATTTCACGAATGAAGAATCTTCAGCCAAAATGATTYATCCATTGATTGGAGAGGCAATTCATAGGCAGTTGCCATGGCACATGATTTTTATTCTTCTAGGACTTCAAGCGCTCAGAGGACATTGTACACGTCGATTTTCCCTTCACCAATCTAGAGGGAAYTCATCCCCTTCATATATGACTCCCTAGGTACAAGGTTCAAAGTATYGATATGATACGYATTTTGATTGTATCGTAYCGGTACTTAGAAATGGTCGATACACACTTKTTTTTTAGTTTTTTTTCAAARTTTGGTTTTTTGAGAAGGTTATAAAATGTTTTTTATTATTAAAAAAAAGTTGGRGGTCCGAAACACTTGAAAAGTTTCAGACMATATCTTTTTYWAAARATACAATACSATACACCCAATGGATACTTTTAACCATGCCCAGGTATGCTCTAACAGAAAAAGAATACATGTAATCAGTATATGACTATATGTAGGCTAGAGAAAATTACTTGTTACGGCCCCATTGGTAAGTTGGAGATGGTTCACTGTTTGAA